TCTTCCATTTAAATGAGGACACGGTTAAAAGCATCGAAGATACAGATAAATCTTTAGGAATCGTTTTTTACTTCCTTTTATACTTTCCTTCATTTTTTCCTGTCTTGCTTCAAACTCCCATACTTGAGTCACTTTCTTTCTGTGTCTTTTCTTCCTTGCTTTTCTTCTGCCCATAATACTTTCTCTTTCATTCATCATTTATGTCTTTCTTTAATGCCTTCATTCTCCCCTTCTTTACTTCTTTCTTTCTCTCTTATCTTTACCTACACGTCTTCTCCTTTAAGACGATGAAGAAGTAGAGTAGGTCAGCTGAAATGTGTCATGTCGCTGTCAGTTCTATCTGCTATCTCATTCCTTTCACTCACGTGGCAGTCTAATAATTTTCCAACAGTGAAAGATAAGATTTCCATATCCCACACTTAGTTTGTTCATTTTATTTGTTTGCAGCATTTGCTTAGACAGCCTATAAAGTCACCTGTGGCACATACAAACCTTAATGTGTTAAGGAGCTGTTTTTCTTATAATATTTTATTTCATCAGAAGTTGGTTATTATTTATTATTGCTTACTTTTTGAGATGGCATCTCCTGCCTTTATGCTCTCACAATGTATTTCCTCCTTCAATTGTTTTTTGTTTGAGTTAAGTAGATCCCCAAAGAAACTAAGATGCTGTTTTAAGTTCATCTCAAATTAAACTACCATACGATTCTGAGCTTCTTCTTGAATCCTCTACAATTAATGCTCCACAATTTGTTGCCTACATATACATATCAGTGACTGACCTGGGATACTGCACATGTATTCAGCCTGAATTCGACCTCTAAAGATCTGACTATCCCTGTTCATATAAGACTGTAACTCCTTACTAAACCAGATCATTAAACAGGATTTATGTTAATGCTGTATGTCAAATAGGATTTTAGAGCTTGCAGTGTTATGTTTTTGCCCTGCTGATTGAACATAGTATAGTCAGTGGGGATTATTTCCCTCATATTTTTACATTATATTCAGAATTTTCTATTCTTATTATTTAATTATGTGCAGTTTTTCCCGAATCTAGAAATTACAACTAAATAACTAACCATTGTTCTTTTTGGTCATCACAGAATGAGATGACAATATATGAGGTTAACAATGTGTTTTACATCTGAGTTGAACTAACCTTTAAGCTTTGGAGCCTGACATTAGAATTGACTAACGAGACTTAAACTTGTTGTATAACCCCACCTCAGGGTTAAGATAATCCTGCAGTTATGTCAGTTTTAAAGCCAGGTCAGGTAACACAGGGTTTGTTGACTTATTGTCAGCAAAGGTTAAACATAGCAGTACTCATATTTCTCCGAACTGTGGCAAAAAGTTAGACGTCTATGTGTATCTATAGTCTTATGTCAAAAGGTCTGTGGTTAACAGGTTTAGTAACTTTAATAATTATTGAGTTCAAAAACTTGTATTGCAGCATCTCTGATGTGTGCTGCCTCCTTGGGGCTTTCCCCTCTGGCTGACTTACTGTGACGTAGACGAGGGTGTGTGTACTGGTCTATGTGAGGAGGTGTGTGGGGGGGAGAAACAGCTGTGCTGGCTAGATATGTAGTTAACAGTAGGAAGCATTCATAGTGCACATTCTGCTGCAGTGTGTCACCAGACAGTCTCTCTCTCTCTCTCTCTCTTTCTTTCTCTCTCTCTCTCTCTCTCTCTCTCTCTCTCTCTCTCCCACTCCTTCTCACGTCTGTCTGTCTGTCTCCTGTTTCTCCCTATCCCCCTCAAACACACCCACATACGTGCCTATGTGCTGCCATTCAAATACACACACACACACACACACACACACTTTTCTCTCTCTCTCTCCCTCCCTCGCTCGCTCTCTCCCCTCCCCCAGCCACAGACTTCCTCTCTTCCTCTCCAAAGTTACCCACTGTAGTAAATTAAGACATATCTCTTTGACGGCTACCAGTTTTACCATCATTTCCTCCTTCATGTTCAGGAACTGTGCTTATTCCTGGATTACACCCCCCCCCCCCCCCCTTTCAAACACACTTGTTCTAACACTCTAACCCACACACATTACATTTTCTTGGTAGAGTAGGTTATAAAAGAAAAAGTAGCGTGAAGGACAACGTAACACTGCTGTCACCACTCCCAGACAGGGTGTGTCAAGGCTTTTGTCTGCCTGATGCCGTATTAAATATCGGAGTTGGGGGGCAGGGGGGTCTGAGTGCGTGCATGTGTGTGCAAAAGTCTCAAGTTTTTTTTTCTGCTCTATGGAGAAAAGAATGTTGGCACGAAACTAGCCACCAGGGGAGGAGGAGGAGGAGGAGGAGAAGGTCGGAGTGCTCAAGTGCTGCTCCAGGTTTGTTTCATTTCATTTGCTCTGTAATGAGTCTTGTTACTGCTGCGAGAGGCAGAGAGATCTGACTGGGGAGTTCAAAGTTAAGCCACAGGGAAGGAGGAAGGGAGGGAGAGAAGGAGGAGGAGGGAGGAAAGGAAAGGAGCAAAGCAGGAAGAAGGGAGGGAGAGGAAAAGAGAAGCAGAGACAAGCCCTCACTTGCACACTTTTAGAAGGCAAAAAAAGCGGCAAAGACCAACTTTTTCACTCCTTCCTTTATCCTTCCTCCTCCTCTTCTTCCTCCTCTCTGCCCTACACCCTTCTCAAATGATCCCTGCTCTGAAAAGATACTGAAGCTCGCAAAGAGGTCTGAAAAAGTTGCCTGGGTCTGTGCATGACTGTGCGTCTGTGTGTCTACTGGACTGTGTGTGTGTGTGTGTGTGTGTGTGTGTGTGTGTGTGTGTGTGTGTGTGTGTGTGTGTGTGTGTGTGTGTGTGTGTGTGTGTGTGTGTGTGTGTGTGTGTGTGTGTGTGTGTGTGTGTGTGTGTGTGTGTGTGTGTGTGTGTGTGTGTGTGTGTGTGTGTCTCTCTACTGGACTGTGTGTGTGTGTGTGAGCCTGGGTCTGTGTGGGAATGATTACATCAGCCTGCTGCAGCCTTATGATTGGTTAGTGAGCGTGTGGTTTGATTCAGTGTGCCTTGGAGCCCGTGGCTGAGGCTGTAACCCTTTGTGAGGGGGAGAGAGAGAGAGAGAGAGGGAGAGGGAGTGAGAGAAAGAAAGATAGTTGTCAGACTCAGCCGGCACTGGAAGTACTGTACCTGCTGCCATCTGATCAGTGTCTCAGTGTGTCTGTCCTGTGAGCTGAGCAGACAGCGGCTTTAGGTCACAGAGACATTTCTTTTTTTTTTAAAGACAGATAGGGAGCTGGCAGCCTACACAGACTGAAGGACTTATCTGCAGGCTGTCTGTGACAGGTAGCACAACTGCATCTGTCAACTGTCGGCATTCAAATTTGTCTTTCTGGAGGAGACAGAAGAGCGAGGTTTCCTATCTTGGTGACTGTGTGTGAGTGTTTGGTGTGTGTGTGTGTGTGTGTGTGTGTGTGTGTGTGTGTGTGTGAGCGTACCGGGAGCCAGGCTCACTCCAAAAAATGCCTTCGTGTTCCCCGGACTGCTGCCTATTGCGGGCCGTGGAGGTAAGACCGTCGCTCTCTTTTTCTGTCTCTTATCTCTCCCTGTGTGTCTCTGCCTCTACTCGCCTTCTTCTCTCTTTTACATTTTAAGACCGTTCCTCTTTGACGTGCTGCTGTGAGGCGACAAACTGACTGTGTAAATACCTTTAAGGCTGAAGACAGTTTGTCTTTTTTCAAGATGTGAGCACAGCCGTAACGTTAAAAAAAAAGGAGTCAAATACGTCAGCGGCTTTGATTGATTCGAGGATTCCTTTTTTTTTTTTTGCTTTTGACCATTTTGGATAGAAAGAGCGCCTCAGGCCTACTTTGTCCGAACTGTGATGCTATGAGGCTGCATCTCTGCTAAAGGAGAGAGAGAACAGAATTCTTCTTTGTCATGCTACATTATGTGGGAAGTGTGTATATACATGACATGTGTAGGCTTAGCAGGCTGGATTCCTGTGTAGGCTAACAAGGCTGGATTCCTCTGCAGGTTCAGAAGGCTGCTCTCTCTCTCTCTGTGGACCATTTGATGTGTTTCCTCTGAATGTGGCTGTATGGTTTCTTTTTGAAAAGCCAACCTGTCGACTCTTATAGGAAGTGAATGTAGGAGTATTGGCTACAAATCCGATGGCAGCTGCACGTCCTGGATTTCATTTCTTGTTCAGTTGAGCTATAAAAATGTAAATGGATGTCTCTCGCACATATGGGACTCTAAAGTGGAGTTTAACCCACACAAAGCCTAATGCACTGTTGCTATAGAGAAGTGACATTAATAATGTAAGTACAGTTTATTCTGAATTTGCTAAAATATGTGTGTGAGTATACCTGGCTTAGTTGAAACTATTGTATATATAGACACAAATGACAGAAAGTATAATTCAACATTCTTTATAACAACGTGTCCATTGTATTTTGACTGACCCATTTTCAATTTCATCTTATAACAACAAACGCTTAAAGCATATTTACTCCTCATGTCTCATCTTAGCAAACATGCATTGTATACATTTTCATGATAAGCTATAATTGGAAACACCACGCTTACTTCCCCCTTAGCTACACTTAAAGTATAAACCTGTTTGCTGTAAGCAGTCCTGCTGTATGTTCACAGGAGCAGGCGCTTGTTTTTACTCAACAGTATATTTGTGTCTATATTACACCAACAATATACGCTATAAGAAATGCTCGTCTGTGATTTCTGAAACCGCAATTGCCACATAGACTTGAGTGCCTGTTCTTTTCTATTGTGTGCTGTAATTACAGGCCAGTGTATGGTATAGTGTCTGTATGTTAAATGCTAAGGTAGTGTCTGAAGGAAATTGCCATCTTCACCCACCTAATAGGCTGATTCTTCTAAAATAAGACATCTAAAAATGATTCCATTCCAACTGTTTGTTTGATTCATTAATTTCACAGATGGTGTTCTTTCTTTTTTTTTTTTTTAAACTACCTCAATATAATCTCTATGATATAATATTTCCTCGTGTATTTTTTCTCTTCATAGATTGTGAAGATCTGCAGTGAAGACGGCATGTGTAAAGTCGTGGAGATCCCAGCCGACATGACCGCCAGAGACCTGTGCCAGCTCCTGGTTTATAAAAGCCATTGTGTAGACGACAACAGTTGGGCGCTTGTTGAACACCACACGCTGCTTGGGCTAGGTAAGGGGCAGCGCCTTGCAGGCCAGAATTGTTGTTCAAGTTCACAAAAAAAATGCACACATGAACACACTTTCTCACACACAAACTCTTGGATGTCGGGGTGGGCCGAGAGATGCGACACAATCACTGACACAGGTGCTTTCACATGTATGCATGCGTGCACACATATTGGGGCAGACAGACAGTTCAGGCAAAAAATTCTCACGCAGGCATGTATTCAAGCATGAGTGCATGCTATACAACATATGCACGCACATGGCTGCAACATCCAGTGATCTAATCATGTACAACACAGTCACTGTGTCAGAAACCTACTGTAGCTGTGCAGAAATTATGCACACAATGTAGGGGTATGTTACTGTGTCAGAAACCTACTGTAGCTGTGCAGAAATTATGCAGACAATGTAGGGGTATGTTACTGTGTCAGAAACCTACTGTAGCTGTGCAGAAATTATGCAGACAATGTAGGGGTATGTTATCTCATGAAAACCTGAGGCAGACATTTAGCTTCTTGTTATTGGACAACACTTGCTGATTAGCATGTGTGCAAGCAGAAAGTGACGGAAATAGACAGTGCATGGACAACACATGAGGTCAGACCTTCTTTAGCTGTGACGGGGCTGATGATTTTCTAACTCAATAACAAGATTCCTGAGTTGTACTGAAGGCCAGATGATAAATTATGTCGAATTTGCCCAAATCTGGAGCTAATTACATGTGTGTTTGGATACATGATTGAAGTGTTGACTGTCCTGTTGGTGGGCCATTGTTAAAACTTAAATAAACTGTCAGACCTCTTAAGAAACCAGCAGAATCTCTCTTTGGTCCCCACTCTTCAATGAGCAAAGGCAATTATTGATAAATGTTACAGCCCCGAAGCCCTCATTACAGAGTAACTTAATTTAGTGTTAGAGATCGGGAGAAAAGTTTCTGGTTCATGCGGAGGATAATGATAGCAACAGAGAGGATCATATGATTTCTGACATCCTTGGCTGCTATTTTTAACGCGGACCGGCTCATGTAAGGTCAGCAGGCCGCTTTAAAACAGATCATACTGGGTATAAACAAATATCCACGACAGTTCTACTCAAGAGTATTCTGCGTCCTGAGTGAGTTTTTCAGAGCAACTGTCTTGAAGAAATTGATATTATGATGTTTTGTTTCTTTCAAATGTCACCAGTAGGGGATAAAAAGAAGTGCTTCGAGTGAGAACCTGCAGATAATAAGTAAAAAGTAGGGTAAAGGTCATAATTAAAGGTTCTAGATTAGGAGATGATAAGCTGTAACTGAAGAACACTGTGATGTTATCACATCGATGACACCGCAGAGAGGTTTAGGTGATAATTATCAAAGCCTGCTTTTCATGACAGTAGAGCCCTTGCTACAACAGACAGACATTTAAGTACAGTATAGTATAGGAAGTAAAGAACTCAATACTATGAGTATTTTTCAGTGATAATAAAACACTTTCAATTTACTGATGCCTCTTTAGAACAAGACCATCTGCTAGAAGATCGGCTCGTTCTATATCTTGTCATTTTTAATAACTTGTTGGATTCCCACAAAGTGATTTAGTGCTTACAGACTCAAAGAGTCTATGCTTTCATTTTCTCTGGCTAAGTTTCACTGTGAGTAGAGTGACACGGTGTCATCGATTGGACCATAAGATATACAGTGACTTTTTGTCGTCTGTCGCTTCTACCGGACAGGATCAGTCATAACATAATGCAAACCGTTTTTGTGATGAGTTCCTCGCTGCAGATAAGGTTGTACAGTGTTGCCTTTGACTTGGCTGGTGATAAGCAGTTAGCAGTTAGCTTGTCATACAGCATCCATAGAGAAAGGAGTTTACATGTATTGAGGTATATAAGAAAGTCGAGGGAAGGTTAGTAGCACATTTATAAAAGAAATAGTAATAATCCAGATCGCTCACAACACTGAATGTGAAGTTTCCCAAGAAATGTATCAAAGTTTAAAACAACACTCAAAGAGATGATATATTCTAGGGTTTAATTGAACGCTGTATAAAGAAGTGTATGTGTTTTGCTGATTCTGTGTTACACTTGGCAGTATAACAGTAAGTTCGAAGAGCCGTGGCCAGCTGAATGTTAAAAAACCCAACCTCCCCCTGAGGAAAGGGTGATTATAAAGCACTTATGGAGACAAGTTGAGCCTGTGCTCTGCACTCGTGTCTGTATAGTTTAACAGATGTGGGAGAGAAGGGGGGTGTAGTTTTATATAAAGCTCTAAAGCCTGGAAGTGAAACATGCTGTCGAAAGAGGCAGGGTGAAAAAAAAAACATGTTAAAACACTTAATTTCACTTTTCTTTTATTCTGAAATCTTGTTTCAGTATATATTTATGTTTTGCCAAATTTAGTCTACAAACCACACAGTCTGCCATGCTGTCATGTGAGGAAACGGTTATAAGATATATTGTGCTATTTAAAGTACCCCTCCCTAAGTTCTAACCTAATATTTCATCATCCCTCGTGATCTGATTACACTTCTCATCAGAGCTGCCAACACAATGCTGCCAAACACAGTTTGTCCCCGCTTCTTGTAGATGACATCATCGTTGGCTCGCCTTCACTCTGTTCTATTATAACCTGCCTTCTCTTCTGACTCACCTGTATGCTTCCATTTTAAAAACTCTGAAAGAAGTACTGATCATATTTTATGTTCAGGAGCTGCCGTAAATGTCATCAGCATGCTCAATGTTCAAATTGAAGGGTGGTGCATGTGTCACTGCAGAACCAGGACCTGTCTGACACTGTGTGTGTCTGTCTGCTCATCTGGAGTTTTGACTCTCACTAAATATTAGAAACTTCCTAAAATGTGTTAGCTGCTGTTCAAAAGGTTGAAACATATTCTATTTGAATACATTTCTGGTCAAATTCCATTTAGTAGCATTCACTATCTCTCTTTATATGTTTGCACTGTATACAGTATGTATGACATATTCATTGCAGTAGTTAAGAATATTTACTAATTATTTTGTCTTTTTTTTTTTTAAAGCTCTGAACGACATTTTATGCAGCTAAACAATCTGGTACTGTATCAGGAATTGTCAAATGCAGCGGTTGATGAAACGATTTGATTCCATAATTACTTGGCCTTTTAAAATAAAATCAACTGTTTCTTTTTCTCCAATAAGAAGCCTACACAGCAATAAAATATACTTTCATGTGACGAAAGCAAACAGTGCTTAGCAGAGTGAAAAATTATTCATAGCTAGCAATCAGCAATTAGTGTTGAACTATAAAAAACATCATAAAGATATTTAATGATGTTTTTTTTTTTTACTAAACTGAGAGGTTGAGATCATTTAAGCTGTTTTAACACAAAATAAAGCAGAATAATATAACAAAACAGACATTGTCATTGGTATAGTCTGTAGTGGTTTGATGTTTAAATGCATATTTTTCCATTTCACTGTTGGCAAAGGTTTTCTCTGTATGAACAAATCTCAAGATCTGTGATTGTTGTTGTCTTTCAATGTCTTCCCCATTGAGTACAACTTTTTTTGTCAAGTTGTGTGTTTACTGTATGTTGGCTTAGCCCTGAAATATGTGCATGTCAATTCTTTGAAAATAATTGGATACTTACAAGTTTAAGTGCGCTCTCTGTACGTCTGCCTTGCACATGCATGTGCTGTAATTTTTCATGTGGTTTAGCGGTGGACAGGAATAGTTTAGGAGTGAATCCAGCAATGTTTCATTTGAAAAGAGCGGCCTATTCCCGTCTATCACTGCCCACTCTTTTACGCTGCTGAATGGACTAAATTGGCCCTTTGAGATAAGTGACTCCAACCTCTACTTGTCACCCCATAAAGGTTAACATCTGTGGGACAGCGAGGTAGTGTTTCCAGGGTGAGTCACTGTCACGAACAAGAGTGAGTCATGAGACAGGCGACAAAAAGGGAAAAAAAGACGAATCGTGACGCCGCTGGAGAGACCCGAGAGAGGGCAGAATAAAGGAAGAAGAGAGGGAAACATGAAATGTGATAATGATGTGAGATAAAGTCTCTCTGAAGTTCAAAAAAAGACATCCCAGTTTTATGGCAGAGGTTCAACAAGTTACAACATTTTAATTAAATCCGCTGGGGGGGAAGGAAGTCTTTCATTAAAGGCATGACAGAGAGAAGTTGTAATGCTGTTGGAATTGACTGAGTCATGAGCGCTTTCAGCATCACAATGGCAGAATTTCAATCAGCAGGACCTCTGACCAACACAAGGAGATCACAGAGTATTTGGTTTTCAACTTAAAAAGGAACGCTTCAGTCTTGCTGAGAATCCCTTTGACCACTAAACAGGTCCAATAAAAATGAAAATGTAGTTTATTAAATCCTGATAGCTGAAAAATCCTTTGGAATATTGAGTGTGTGGTCTTTGATGTTCAGGCGGGGGTTTATATATATGACAGAAGATGTTATATCAATGTGTTTTTCTACTTATATGACCAAACTGTACTAACGTTGTTTTTATTCCTCATTCCACATTTCGTCCCTTCAGAGCGCTGTCTAGAAGACCACGAGCTGGTGGTTCAGGTCCAGGCCTCTATGAACAGCGACAGCAGATTCCTCTTCAGGAAGAACTATGCCAAATATGAATTCTTCAGAAACCCTCTGGTAATTGCTTTTCTTAACATAACATGTCACTCCTGGCGTCTTCTCATTGAAATATGTCACAATTTAAAATTTTTTAAAAAATGCACCTGTGGCGACAGCTTGCGTTGATTTTGTTCTGCATTTTTTATCATGTAAAACCTCCTCCTTAAGATGAGTTTGAATAAATGGTTTAGGATATGCCAGTATTAATATATGAAAAGACTTCATTGTTATCTTAACAAGGGAAAACAAAATATTGAATGGCTTCTCACCTGGTTAGTAAAGAAAAGCAATAAAACAATAAATAAACAGTACAAAGAAAAAGGAAAAAATAGATCTTAAAAACTTAATAAGTGGCAACTGTAATGATTTTACCACTTTAAGGTGAGCAATCCGGCCATGTTTCTAATGTTTTTAGTTTCTGCTTCTTTTTTTTTCACATGTTCCTGTAAAATACTGTGACAGATGACTCCTGATGCGTTTTACATGAAGTCGCTTATTCATAAATTCCTCTCAGTTGATGATATTTTCTGCCTGTCTGCCTCTTTTTTATACCAGACGTTTTTCCCGGAGCAGATGGTCGCATGGTGCCAGGAAACCAGTCGTACTATTCCACCATCTCAGCTCCTTCAGGTACATACAACACACACACACACACGTTCCTCTCTGTGTGTCTCGGATTCTCTCCTCTTCCCGACACGCACACAGCTCAGTTTACCTCGGAGTCAGCAGCCGCCACATAGTGTACAATCAAGCTGACATAGCTCACCTCTGACCCTGAGACAGTGTGTCTCGTCAGAGCCGGCAGTAATAACTACTGTTGATCCCCTGTTGACACATGACTGTCTCGGCACACGCACCGCAGGCCCGACACTCGCGACGGATGGAATTAGCCAGTCAGAAATAGAACATGCAGTCCCTCACTCTCCTAGCGGGTGTTTGCGTAGTACAAATTTGCACACCTGTGTCATGCTATTGCACACCCATTTCACAAAAGACGTGCAGAGGAAAGAAAAGTCTTGGGATTTTGCAGAGCTTTGGTCTTAATGGAGGCTTTTCTCTGCCCTGCATCAAGTAGTGGAGCTGTCAGAGGCAGAGCCACCGCTGGAATCATTCCCTTCATGCGCTGCACCAACAGAAAGCTTTTAACTCTTCCGCTCATCATGTAGATGTTCTGCTCTGTTCTGCTCCATATAAAGGAATCGATATATGAAAGGGGATGTGTCTGGAATCCCCAGTGTTTGATTTACTCTTAACACAACATCTTTGTCGGCAGTTCTGTCAACACCGAGACGCTTTTCTGACTTAAGCTCAACCAGGTGTTTCTACATTATTTGCCATTGTGCAAGATACTTCTGTCAGCCCAAATCAGCAAGCTGGAGTGCCTTAAAAAAAGAAAAAAGAAAAAAAAGAAAGCTTTTTGCATGATTGCTGCTCGTGAGCGTGACTCTGCAGATGTCAGAGAAAGCTCATGCGTGAGGCCCACTGTACTTTGTTTCCAAAACACTAGGAAGCATGTGCTTTAAATGTTGAAGAGTCCTCTGGAACAGTTTACCTCCCAGCCGCAAGCCACAAATTCCAAATCAGACCCATTAGCTCAACCTGCCACTTCATGGTGCGATCTTTTTTGTGAAACATGGAAACCACAAACTCAAAATAGATCAGAAACATTCATGACAACTGAGGCTTTAAGGCTTCTCAGTAGGAATGTACTGCATGTTTATTCAATTTATGTATTGTATTTGTCTTGGCAGGCCTATGACATCACATGAAATCATACAACCTCACGTAGTTTTCCTCTCCTATTGACAGTTAGTTAAAGCACTCATTTGTATCCATAGTACCCAGCAAGTAGCACAAACAGACACGCTAAAGATGGCATTATAGGGGCATAGATGGCCTCGTGGTTAGGTCGTGCTCCCTGTATGTATGGAGGCTGTATCCTCTAAGCAGGTGGTCAGGGCTCAAGTCCGACCTGCGACTCTCTTCCCAATTTTGAACTCTATCCGATGTCCTTTATAATTAAAATAAAAAAACTAAGCCCAATTATAAATCTAAAAATAGGCAAGTTCAGAATAGAAAATATATATATATATTTTTTTTAAATTCATTACAGGCCATGCTCAAAGTATGCATACATTATGAATATACTGAAGTCTACTGTACTGTAGACGCTCGCACAATGCCTACCGTCTTTTGGTCCCTTCCTCCTGTGTGCTGGAAGTCAAGCTGTCCCTTATCTCTTCCATAAGCTGTCAGTCTTGATGTCACTCACTGATGCAAGAATCCCACATGACACTGCCCTCTTGACAAAATCAAATCGCCTCCTGCTCTGCGATGTTTCTACAGATGGTTTCTGCTGCAGCCCTTTGTATTGGGCTGTGACGCTGACACAGAGCTTAACTGGCCTCCGATGTGATCTGGCGTTGCTCACCTGATGCCGATGGTCCTTTTGGAGGATACTGTAGAGCGGATTATCCAAACTTGCATGTGCTGATCCCCCTGTTTTGTCTTTTCTTTTACCGCCTTTCAGAACTTCTTGGCGACCAGCAGCTGCCCAGAGATTCAGGGACATCTGTATGTGAAGGAGGTGGGCAGGAAGTCATGGAAGAAGGTTTACATGTTCCTGCGGCGCTCAGGACTCTACTGCTCTACAAAAGGAACCTCAAAGGTAACGGCAGCGGAGCCTCTTCATCTTCAAGGGGAAAGGGTTTATATTAGTGTCATTTTCTATGCATAGTGCTATAAAATGTAACAGTAATAACACAGTAAATATTCCAGATTAAACATAATTACCGTCAAAAGAATCTTCCTTTTCATGCATGTGTCAGTATATCTCCAGGCTGTGCCTCCCTGTGATGTGCTGACTCATTAATTATTTCTGTCTGCAGGAGCCCAGACATCTACAGTTACTAGCAGACCTTGAAGACAGCAACATCTTCACCGTGATCACAGGCAGAAAGCAGCACAGTGCCCCCACAGACTACGAGTTCTGTATCAAGGTGAGGCCCAGATGACACGAGTAGGAAGAATTATGATCCCAATCTGGGGGAGGTGCGCATGCAGGCTCTGTGTTATCACTTCAAGTATGAATGTTTAAACATTTCTTCACCTCACCTATCGCTCTTTTGTTAGTTTTTAAATGTCATAGATGAGTAATGAATTTGTTCCTGTATGCATTTCAACTCAGTCATAATAACCACCAGTGATTATGGTGATGCTATTGGAGCAGGTTGAGCTGATGGTGATTATCTGTCTGTTTAACAGCCTAATAAAGGTCGAGGGGAGATGAAGGAGCTGAGGATTCTGTGTGCAGAGGATGAACAGGGCAGGACGTGTTGGATGACAGCCTTCAGACTCTTTAAGGTAACACCATGAATATCTTCATTTTAGATACATCGGGGGTTTTTTTTTTACTAAACTGTAGAGCTTCCAAGCCTAGATCAGACAGTAAGATGGGCTCAAAACTGATTCTGAAACTTGTGTTAAAAATGTTGCTAATAGACTTCTTTTCAAATTAGATCATTAACAATGGCTTTGTTTAAACTCTGTTGTACGAGATGGTTGACCTTTGTGTTTCTTTTTCTTTGCAGTATGGGATTTTATTGTACCAGAATTATAAGATTCCTCAACAAAGAAAAAACTTACTCTCACACTTCTCAGCACCTGTGGTAAGTTAACCTCTTTAGTTAAAGTCTAAAAAAAGTGCTCATTCTAACCTGTGCTTTGCATGAATTGTTTAGATATACAGTAACAATGTACGGTTAATATGTATTGAATTGTGTTTGCATTCATCTGGACAGAGCTGCTGCCTTGTCTCATGTGTCATGTGTCTCTGTCTCCCCCTAGCGTAGTGTATCAGAGAACTCCCTTGTGGCGATGGATTTCTCAGGCAGGATAGGCAGAGTGATTGACAACCCTGTAGAAGCTCAGAGCGCTGCCATGGAGGAGGGGCACGCGTGGAGGGTAAGACACAGCCTCACATTTTCTATTTATCTCTGTCAATAATACTCAGAGCCGACCTCACAGGCTGACTACATATGGCACTATTTCTATAGATCATATATTTATTCAGCAAATCTTCCTCCAGTTGAAATTTTAGTTTTTTTGTGTTATTTTTATCTGACAAAAGGTGGGATGTGTATAGGGAAGCTGCCAATATGTGTTCCAGATCAGACTGAGCTGTGAACTATGCAGAGCACACAGAGCAGTTTAGGACATAAAGCTGAACCACCGTTAACAGTGAATAGAGATACCAATGCTGAACTGTAATGTAGAACTGAACATGAACTAATCCCCGATTTTTCTGTCTGTTTGTGGCCTCTCTCTCAGAAGAGGAGTCAACGAATGAACGTACTAGGCTCCCACAGTCCGCTGCACCACTCCTCATTAAACTCAGGTACATGTATGTAGTTGACTTCTTTTCTAAAAAAAAAAAAAAAAAAGTCACTTAAATAATATAAGCAACTCTCAAATTGTTTATATTTTATAGCTATTCTTTGTCTTTTCTCTGCAGTTATCCACATGGCTCAGTTGTGGTTCCATGGCAGGATAACCAGAGAAGAATCCCATCGCATCATCCACCAGCAGGGACAAGTAGACGGGTAAGGGAGCTGGAGCTTAAACACATTTAAAACATGCAGTTTTTTTCTGTTTGCTGTGTATTAAAATTAAACCCAAAGTCATGCATGAATATGTGAATATTTTAGATTTGTTTCTCACTCCGTAATCTTTCTTTTCTCTTGTTTCCAAAGGTTGTTTCTGCTGAGAGTCAGTCAGAGTAACCCCAAGGCGTTTGTGCTCACGCTGTGCCATCACCAGAAAATCAAACATTTCCAGATACTACCGGTATGTCTTTCTTGATTATCTTTTATTTTCTTGTGTTAACAAATAGTTGTCTTTTATGAAATCAAATGTTGCAGTTACATGTTTCTTGGGATTGAAAAGCGACTTGTTACTCACAAACCTAAACTTTAAAACCATCTCTTTATCTCTGTCCCTCTGGTGCTGCTCACTCCTGCCCGGACCCTTTTGTCTCTCGACAGTGTGAAGAGGACGGCCAAGTCTTCTTCAGCCTTGACGACGGCGCCACCAAATTCACCGACCTGATCCAGCTGGTGGAGTTCTACCAGCTCAACAGAGGAGTGTTGCCTTGTAAACTCAAACACCCGTGCACCGTCGTGGCCTTATGACATCATGCGATCATCGGTCCCCATAAGTCCTATCACTTGACCTGACTCTGCCTAAAACAAGCAAAACAAAAAGAATCTCGTTTTGTTTTTATCTTTATAAGAAGCTGGTGAATGACTGATGTTTCTTTTGTTGTCGTTGTTTTTTATTTTATTGTTGAGAGTCCGCCGGAGACTGCTGACTTGTTGGATTCCTTTTAGTTTTGCATGGACGTTTGAAGAGTCGGATGCACAACTCGCTCACAAGGTTCCTCAGATTAAGGAAACGAACACTGCCGTTTGTGTCAAAAAAAAAAAAAAGTTGCATAATGTTCCACAATCTTGCTACCCACAGTCATCAATAAGCTCGGACACAGTGACCCTCGAGGTTTTTTTCGACTTTACTTCCCTTAAACTGGACAATCAGCAGGACAAGCTTTGTGTGGACCACTCTGCTCTCTGAGAAACAAACATTTAGTCTTATCAAGCTTCATCACACGGAGAGATGAAACTGTAGGCGGAGAGTTGATTGTCTCTTAAGTTTTGCACTCACTGAACTTGGAGCGGCCTTTGACGGTGTATGACTTCGAAGTCGTCGCATCAATGAACTCTGAGATGGTGTCAGCACCCTCTAGTGTCACAGGCATGCAAGGACATGTTCAAATTCAACTTGGATGGGATTTGGAGGCACCAGAAAGAGTGTTGCTGTCTGGATCGAAAGTTGTCAAAAATCTGGAACTATCGATACAAAGTATTTTTAAGAATATAGACTGTCTAAAATCTGCATTTCCAACTCTCATAGAGTTCTATTTACTCATCTCTGATCACACAGGCTCTTCTTTGATATGTCTCCTTTTTTTTTTTTTTTTTCATGCATTCAGGAAACTTGCAACCCTCCATTATTCACATAAGCTACGACAAGGTCATGCTGTGCTTGTTATTTTATCGCATGCTCTAGTTCTTTAGAGTCTTTTAAATGCAGCCTCCACAAAATGAATACACATAATTCAAACCATGGTGTTATCAGGGTGAAATCACAAGTACCGGTAGTTCAGCTCAAGCAAAGGCAGAAAGAAACGCGTTCTGAAAAGTAAAGTAGGAAAAAAGAGAGTAACAGTCTTTAAATGGATCCTCCTCACCACAGCACAGGGAAGGATAACCACTAATATTTTTCTAAAGATGTTTTTTTTATTTGCAGTAAATCAATTGAAACTAAATGTCTCCTGCTTCTGGACTCTCTTTCACACTTTTCATATTTCTAGTAAAGTTCCCCAATTTGCTTCCAGAAGTGGTTATGCTGTCAGACATAAAGTAAATGTGGATAGGAGCATGGTTTAGTGCACGGACTCCACAATGGTAGTAAATATTATGCTTTACATTCCATATAATGCTGCCTTTTATTACCTGCGAGTACTTGTGTACTGCCTCCTGCATGCCAACTCTGTGTGACTGCAGGTCCATTGTCTCGTTAAAGTTAGATGCTGTTAAGTGAGGAGGAAGTTAAATTAACTCAGCAGGGGGGGGGGGGGGGCAGCAGCAACTTAAAACTGGAATTTTAAGATCTCAGACTTCAGGCTGCAAAAGCACGACAGGGCCCATGTTGGTAGTTTTAACCCACATTCCTGAAATTAGCATGAATGAGAACACCAAAAGGTCACACTGCTCCAGGAAAACCTTTCATATGAAGATCAACTTTATTAACTTTAAATGAGAGCACCAGACTGGAAACTTAAGACATAAAGTCTAAATGGATTAGTGTGAGGGCAGAGGATACACCTACCTTGTGTCTCACACAGTGCTATTTCAGTACAGATCGATTGTTTTCCTTGTTTGCCAGCCAAGGTCAGACTAAACAGAATGGATCTCACTTTGTGTTTTTTGGCCAGGTCTTTGATGGAACTCCTAAAATTAGCAACAGTGAACGGAGCCTGTATCAAATAGCTTTTTAAATAGATAAGGATACTTTGTAGCACCTCTTGATCATGTCTGGAAGAATGGGTAAAAAATTACCAGCAAAATTCTGGGTGAACAACATACATTAGGTTGAATGCCAAAAGTAGTTTTAGAATGGTATTATATTTTTCATCAAAAAAACACACCTGTCACTTAACGTCAACTGTTCACAATCACCTTCCCATGAAATTCTCACGACTAACAACTTATCTCCTATTTTTCCCACTGATATTCCCATCATTTCTAAAGAAAAAGCCCCACTTCAACATTTGATTTAATCAAAGCAGTGATGGTGGATCTGGCTGGTTGAGCACCCAGCAGACTGACAGATTTGTATTTACCGTAAATGAAACATCCACAGTCATGATTTATGTCCCTTCAGGTTGTCTTAAGGTTTTCTGAACATCTGAGATGCAGAATAGCAGCACCGTATTGACTTTCTGTGCATAGTGGTCACCTTTATTTATCTGAGATGCATTCAATGACTCAATCTTTTCTTTTTTTTTAAGTATTGTTGCAGCAAAATTTATTTATTTATCGGGATGTGTCTGATTACTTGAACTTTTTAGATGTATTTTTTTTCTCAGCGCTGTTCTATACTGTTTTCTTTTGTCATGGATTGACCAGTGTGATTGATTATTATAATGATTATTACTGTCATGACATCTTCGATGAGTTTTGTTTCCCGTTGTGAGTTTCATCTGAAAACTATTCTTGTCGTCATCAAAACGTGTTACAAAGTGTCACGGGTGTGAAAATTGTCATTCCAATCGATGACAAGGGGAATGTTGTCAAATTGAAAACAAAGTTTCCCAAAGCAATCAACGGGTTGTTTTTTCAAGATTCATTGGGGAAAATTAAATAAGAAGTCCAACCCACAAGTTTTCTCATCCCTAATAAATGATCACTTAAAATAGTAATAAATAGATTCCAGTCAAAGTAAAGGGGGAAAAAAAGCTTTTAGAAACTGAGTTGGCCTCAACATTCTCAAAATTCACTGTTTTAACGCACTGCCTTGAGAAGACACACTTTTAGAAATGTAGAAGTAGATATAAGCCCTTTACACTAAAGTATTCATTTGTAATCAAAAACCTCTTAGACACTAAAATAAGATAAAATTGAGGACATGCATATTAACACCCCAGCCCTCATAACCCTTCAAACTGCAATGGACAGGGATGTGAAGTCTTTAATGCAGTTTAATATGCAGGGATTCTGTCTTTGTAAGTCATTATGTTGAATCTGGTTAATAATAACACAAATTATTTTCTAGGTGCTGAAAGTTGATTTAAGCTAATGATAAGTCACTGTATGGTCAATGCTCTCTGTTTTCTAAGTTTTAATAGTTTACCCACTCCAAAGTCATCCTCACAGTATCACATTATTTCTGAATAATGTGAAAGAAAGCTGGTGTCAGCAAGTGAAGGGCCAGGATTTAAAGGTTTAAAAAAGAAAAGGCAAATAATCGCAGCACTCTTAAGTATTCTATTTTAATGATTAAGATTAACAGCAGCTAAAGGAAACAAATATTCTGTGTCAGACGACGGTCTTTCACTCTTGGTCTTCGTTTCATTCATCTGCCGTCTACCTTTATCATCAACAATGGAATACTTCATCACGAGTGCTAGCATGTTTTGCTTGTAGTGTTCTCTTTGAGTTAGCACCGATTGCCTTTGAGGAGTTTTTGAGTCGAGCGTGCCAGCTCTTGGTTCTGATATTCAAAAGGCAGACGTTAGTTTCAACTGTTAAAAAAGAAACAACAATCAAAATGTAGATATGATTTCAAACTAGCAGAAATGAATGTAACTATGGTTGCTCAGGGTCAACTGGGAGTATGTTAAAAACTACTGGATTATCAGATCTCTATGACTTGTGTGCAGGTGACTCGTGAATATTTTAGCTGCATTAACTTGGGATCTTTTTTTCCATGTTCCAACAATCTGTTAGTTGACTTTAATGATATCCTTGCAGCAAACTGAGTAGATCCAGTTGTGTTCAAAGAGTCCAGTTAACACCATAGAGTTTTAGTTTACCTGCTTATGAGAAGGTTTTCTAACTGGTTTGCCTACCTGAGCTCATTTTAAACCACATTTCAAAAATGTATGTGATCAGTTGATTCCAATCTCCTCCCACACTGAAAAATTCAAGTGTCACAATAGATGCTGCCTGTGATGACTCCTCATCGTCTGCACAAAGCAGACACAACATGCAGATCGAATGGCAGAAAGCTACTGTCCAGGAGCAATTGTTCGAACTCAAAAAACTTAATTTTCCATGTGTAAAATTCAGAAAGTGACACTCCTAATGAGTCTGGCAAAAGGTAGTTCAATGCTTATGTTTTCTGAACAATAAGTTTGGCCCTATCCTGCAAACATGGATAAATGTGTATCATCTTGACTCTTGTGCATTTTCGTTTAATTGTCACAATGCAAGATACCGTGGCTGTACAAATGAGTAAATTAAAAAAATATATCTATATATAAAAGAATATAAACTATTATGTATTTCAGGGAATGCAAAAAAAAGAAAACGGTAACTTTTCTCTTTTTTGTAAGAGAGAGCTCCTGTATTCAAAATGTGCTTTGCTTCATCTGTAAATAGTTGAATGGCTTATAAATCTTAATTGTAACCTTTTCAGGTATTTTTGTACAAATAAGGGACTGATATATTCTGTTTATTGTAATTAGAAAAAAACATTAATACATTGATATAAAAACCTAAGCTGTGTTTGTCTTAATACTGTGTGTGTTTGTGTGTATGTGTGCGCGCGTATGTGTGTAATACTATAGAATCCATTGTGTGCATTGTTTTGTTCTTCATGTGCAACAGGTCCTATATATTATTTATACTGAATTTATGAAGGTAAATGTGTAATGAATAGTATGGAAAGCAGTCCTCTGTTTTTCCACTAGATGGTAGAATATTACAACAAATTCAAGAGCTCATAGAGTGAAATGACTATTTGAAAAATAAACTACCATAAGAGACAATTTAAAAATGACACATTTTGAATCAATGATTAAAAGAAGAATAGCCTTATTAAGTAAAATGTAAAGTAAAGAAAATCATGTTAATATAGTGTCACATAGTAAGAATACAGCATCGATGCATGCTTACTTGAAGCTGATCTTTTGACACCATCTCAGCCTGTCACATCTTTTGGATTAAAAGTCATGCAAATATAATGAAGTTACAAGACTTAAGGTTTCCTTAAGTGTGAGGGGAAGATTAACATGTCTGAAGCTTTGTATGGTTGTACAATGTATGGTTACTTCAGTTTCATTTTTTAGACCCTTTAATAGTTTTTGTATCCTGGGGGGTGCAAGACATTTGACAGGCTGTGGTGGAGGGGCATTAAGTAGGTGCACTAACTATCATGAAAAACGCTGGAGGGAGGTGTGGGTCAAGTACTCAGGTCATGTGACAGCATGCCAACATTCAAATAGATACAAATAATTTGTATCAAAATTCAAAATGGCGCTATGCGATGACAAATACACCGACAATAAACTAAGTGTTGTTATTTTTTCTTTTTTGAAAATAGGTTTTTTAAGGAACATCAAGTTTTTGTTAAAAAATGATATTGGATTTTCACAGCTTTGATAATCAGGTGTTAAAAATCGCCCAGATAGGGGTATAAAACAGGTACAGTCACTCACATATATACATTTCTAAATAATATAAAGCTGTGAAATATTGATTACTATTTATTTGACTCCTAAATGTGTTTTGTTGTTTATTTTAACCAATGTTAACATGTTTGATGGACGGCCCCCTGCATTTTTCAGCTGTACTGGGGGAGTCTTTGTTTGCAAGATGTTAGTAAAGGGCCACCACAGGGATGGTCATATAAAAACAGGAAGATAAAAGAAAGGAGATAAATGTTGAATTCATACCCTAAACGGGCGACGTATCCGAGATACAGACTCTAAATTGGAGAAGAAAGGTCATATTTGGAAAAATATCGCAAAATGGTCTTATTATAGCCCAGATACAATAGAAAACAACAATTTATTTATTTATATATCCCTTCCAGCTAATACGCTACAATAAGGGCACATTAGTTAAGATTAGTTAATGCATTCATAAGCATTAACTAATGGTTACTAACAGTTAACTAATGTGTCTAGTCATCATTTACTGAGGATGTTCATGTTAACTAAGGTATTTATTAATTCATTATTTCTTAAGGATGTGATTAACATTAGTTAATAGAGTAATAAGCCTTAATTAACAGTTAATTCATACAATAATAAAGATTAAGAAACCATTAACAAATGTCTCTTGTTAACATTAACTAAGGGTTTGCATCTTAATTAAGCTATTAATATTATTAAAAATAACTAATATTACTAAATGGTTGATAAAGATGTTCAATTTAGATGCATGTCTTGAGGTTCAAAGGTAAGCCATTTCATTAAGACCAAACTGTTTGTTTTTATTCATGTTTATTTAAGGTCAATGACTCTCCACTCACCTTGTCCATCCTCCAACTTGTGACTTATTTTTAGAAAAGCTTGAGACTAGTGGACCACCCCATGGTCTTCATGTAGAGGTTTTTTTGTTCCTTTATCTTCATGTAGACATTCTTAACTTAAAGCCTAACCTATCAATTATTATTGCATGTTATATAAGCATTACTTAACCATAATTAACCATTTATTAATGCTCTGAATAAGCGTTATTTAACCATAATTAACAATTTATTCTCTTTATTTTATTTAAAAGGTCAATTTATTGACCTTTGTAAATTTTAAACAAGCACAGAGCTATTAAACTTTAGTGAAACATTATCAAATTGAAATCCCTCATTATGACAACCATCTGTTATCCATACTTATTCAAAATTTTTAAAAGATAGCGACTTTTTGCTTCATGCTGAACAGTATTTATTTAGAAAATTTAAGAATTTTAGTGTTCTTTGAAAGGAATAACAAAAAGGTGATTTAACAATTTCACTGTTTCTCACAGACCCTTGCATGTTATTTTGAAAACAAAACTATAAACTAAAAGTAAAGAGCCTCCCAGAGGACTTAACCATGTGAAACATGTTTTTGAATGGTCTCTAAATGATCTCTAAGATTAAGGACTAATGAACTTCGACATGAACAGCAGAACGGAATACCTGTACAAGGTGGGTTTAAGAGAGAATCAGGTACCTTTGCCTTGTGTTCTTAAGGAGCCTCCACTAAACACACACACACACACTCAAAATGATTCAAATGCAGACTCCAACGGGCAGAGTACAAAAGGAAGGATTATTCACAGACAGGTTTAGATACATTATGGGGCCTCTGAAGTCACACAAAATATTATGCCGCAACTTGTGACAACATGATTTACGCACAAATAATAATTTTTTAAAAATTAAGATTTATTTTTGGGCATTTTCTGCCTTTAGTGGAGAGGGAGGACTGTGGATGGAGTTGGAGATCAGGGAGGGAGGGGAGCCACAGGTCGGATTTAAACCTTGGGCGCCTGCTTGGAGGACCACAGCCACCAGTGTCCCGTATTTATGCACAAATTAGATGGACTGGGTCAAAATGGCACACAAAGTCATACACAAGAATAACACACTCAGAAACACTGGTAGAGGTACTGTGTAACAAGAATGAATACCCAACAAACTGACAACATGAGGAAGGACACATGAGGATAAAGTCCACAGACACTTAGGCGATCACGAGACACTGGTGAGTGTAATGAGGGCTTACTGTCTGATTTTTTATATTCAGGACAATTTTTATACCTGTGGCATCTAAACAGAATCAATTGTACTTTTGGACAAATCCTAAGAATATCATATTTTGCGACTGAAAAAGATCAAGTTTGATTCTTTATATTCAGGACAATTTATTTAATATGAACCATTTCATGAAGGCAGTTTAACCAACAAAAGCATCCTTTATCAACAAATTAAAATTTGAATGAGAGAGAAATAGGGCTGTATCATCTGCAAACTTTATTTGAAAAACAACATTTGAGATATTTAACAATCATTTATAGATAAGAAATAATAAAGGTCCCAAAACGGACCCCTGTGGACTCCCATAGAGTAGATTGACTTTGTCTGAATAGCAATCCTTAACACAAACAAACTGGCTAACCATTTGTAACTAGCATCCTGAACCATATTTAACTTCCCCCCATGATGATTAACTTCATCAAAATATTTTTAATGACACAGTTTTCTTGAATGAAAAACACATTTAGATATGGTCATAAACCAACAATCTTACATGATGCTAGAGCCTGTTAATATGTGACAGTAGATAAGACAGAAGTAAATGCTGTCCAACAGCTACTTGTAAAATTAGTTATTTGTCCAATGAGTAAGTTATTAATTGTTATGGAGTATAAAAATTGATAATAAACAGATTCTGGGCGCGAACATTTGCAACTGATATAAGCCAAGATCAGAAAAAAGGTCTTTGTCCAGTCAGTGATCAGGATGAAATGCAAGAGAAAACTTTTAAGAGTCTATTGTCCAACCAGTATTGTTATGACTAAGGTAGTTATCAGATTCTACATTGGTATTTGCTATATTGTGTTTTTTTCAATTGTTAATCTGCATGTGGTGTGTAAATGTAGCCGACTTAATAATCGATTATTATCTTGCCATCATTAAAAGGTTACTGGAATCCAAAATAGCCTTGTAGCTATAATTAAGGGTTGATGTAAATTATTATTAAGATAATGAGAATTAAGTATCAATCTAAAATCCAATTAATGATGCCTGATGATGATGATGATGATGATGATAATGACTGATTATGTCTATAAAGTTATTTCTAACATATTTTACCGCTAGTGCAGGTGTCAGATGGGGCAAATAATTGAAAGCTGCAGAAACAGTGTTTTTTTTTCCACACCAAACATTCTTTGTGATTTACACATTATAAACTTCCTTCTTTATATACATTTTGGGGAGATTTTGCCTTTATTCAACAAGACAGTGAAGTTTAACAGGAGAGAAGAGTGGGGATGACATGTGGCTAATGTTGAGGGTTGGACTTCAAATCTGAAACATGTAGCCTCTGCCCAGGAGGGCACTGGCTCTAACCTGGCTAAACCAGCACCCTCAAATGGGGCATATAAAATAAGGATGAGATCTTTTTTGTCAGAAAATACCATTTGAACGTGCACAAGAGATGATCAGCAAAGAGATAACAAATCCTGCTTTGTCCACAGGGGTCGCCAAATTCAACAAAATCCTAGTTCTCTTCACAAGAGCTTTTGAGCTTCATTTCCAGTGGATTTAAAAAACATTATTGTACCATATACGGTACAATAATGCTGGGTAATTTACATGACCCAATTGCTGGGTCCTCGGCTGCTGGGTCATTTCACTGGGTTGATTTTGTTCATGGCGGGAATATTGACCCAATATTAGGTTATTGAGATTGACTGAAGTGATCCAACGACTGAGCTGCACCTGTGAACTCAGCGCTGGGTCAATAGTCCCGCCCATTGCCCTCCTCGCGACTGACAGGAGCTGCTGAACAGAACGATCGGTTGTGGATTTGAAGTACATAAAATACATTTTACAACATAAATTATACACTAAATAACATCAATACACAAATACTATTAATTATGACAAAACAATTACGGCAAAGTCATTACTTGTGTCTTGTTGGCTGGCGTAACATAACGATTTCCAGCTTTAGTTCAGAGTTAGCTAATGTAGGCTAATGGTAGCCTAACGGTAACATTCAGTTAGTTGGGTGGCTAACGCTAATTTAGACTTTCAGTCTTACATTTTCTGTGTTCATACAATACAGTCTATCATAATGTTGTAGTTAGATAGCTAATTGGGTGCCTGCTCATATCCTATTAACAGTAACGTTGTTTAAGTGAATCACTTGGTTTACCAGAATGTTACTCTGCGTTATTATTATCTTGTCACATTAGGCTGCTTTTGGAAAAAGGGCCTTTTAGTGCACTTTAACATTTACTTAGGTTCATATTAACCCTAACGTTAAAGCTTATAATAAAAGTAAGTTGCTTGTACTTGCAGCGCGTTTGATGTTAATGCAGTTCTTTTGTGTTTTTGCAGCACGTTTGTGTCTTTGCAGTGAGTTTCAGCCGTTGCATTTGTTTTGGGAGTTTGCTTTTGAATGTGCAGCTTTTCTGAATATGCTGCAAGTTTTTCTAAATGTTTGTCATTTCAGCAGTTGCAGAGCGTGTGACCCCGATGCCTGCTTTAAGGCATTTTACGTCTTTGACGTCCTTTAAGCAATGCGCCCCTGTTTGGGACTTTTTACAAACAGCTACCTGGCCAAGGGTTGCCGTCATTCAGTTCCTAAGGGCCTCTCTAAGTAATGCCACTCCAGCAAATATGTTTGTGGGGTAGGTCTCCCTTTTAATCGATGAATCAGTTGATTTCGTTTTAGTAGACCAAGATATTGTTTGTTGATTTCTATCCTTCCATAGCCCTGGGTTCAGTTGGGCTTAATTTGGGATACTACTTTTACTGTAAAATGCATTATTGTGTTGGTATTTTGTCTTGGTTTTTTTCATACATGCATTCTAAATGTTGTTGGCTCTTTCCAATGTAAATAAATATATGGATTCATTTTTTAATTTGTGTTGATTCCATTTGTTTAGAAGCAGTTTGTGTTGTAAATTATTATGTAAATTATTGTTTTGCAATTCTGAAATTACACATTTTCAATTTTTTTGTACGGCTAAACAATGTACAGCAGAAAAATATGATTACATAAATGACCCTATGCTGGGTGAAAATAAGCATATATAATAATAGCCCACTGAAAAGGTCAAAAGGAACCAACGTTGGGTCATTTTGACATCTAAGAATAAGAAAATTAACCCAACATGCTGGATCATTGACCCAGTGCTGTGTAGGTGCTAGATTGACCCAGCAATGGGTTACTATATAACCCATATTGGGTCAATTTTGACCCAGCATTTTTTAGTTGATGTTATATCATCAGTGAAATAGCTATTCATTTTCTAAGAACTAGATTCAGTAACGCAGTTTAATTTCCAGATGATAAAAAGTAAGGTTAATATTAAAGCGGAGAAAGACATCCGTAAGTTCAGGCCAAGGACTGAAATAAAGTTTCAAAAATACATCCCACACTTTTCAATCATACACCATTCAAATATTTTAACATAGAAATCAAACTTTAGCCCCCACAACGGCACAACGGGTGCTTGTATTACAATCTGTGTTCTAAGGCTCAAGAGACTGATATTTACATCAATGTGTATGGGTTTCTGAAGCCACAGATGCACAATAAATATGATGAAATGTTAAAGCCCTGCATAGCATTTGTTTTATCAGGGTGTTAGGCTGACAGTGTTATTTAAAGAAAAAGAAAACATCAATGAGGGATGAGGGATTTAATGACGATCCTGTAAGGTAGGAAGTGGATCCTGACAGCAATGATAAAGTTGAACAAATGATGAGTACGGTAGGAAAATAATCTGTCAAAATACAACATCTGGAAATATGTCTCTGTATCATGTTGGATTCATGATAGTGTCTCATGACAAACAAACTTTGCTTACTATGCAGGAAACAAAACCTTGATCATGACATGAGTTAAGAAGAACCTTAACATCATTAGAGTCCAATAATAATTTTAACAGTAACTTTAAAAGAAACATGTGAACAACAGGATCGACCTAAAATATGAGCATCCCTTATTTGGCCAATACATCTTAGACAGTGCAATCTTTTTTTAAATGCTGATTGGTCCTCAAATTAATACCCCAATATTGTCATAATTATATAATATTACATTACATTCTTATAATGTGTTCTTGAGCCAGAGTAAAACCTAAGGCTGAAACAAAAAAAAATGCAAGAGTTGATTCCAGAAAGTTGCCTCCTTGGAGCAAAACACCGTTTGCTGCATGTCAAATAGACCTAGTTCAAGTTCCTGATAATAGACACCAAAAAAGGGCATTTTCCTGCATAACATGGTCACTCGCTTAACAAAAAAAAGTATTTTTTCTGGTTTCAAGTTGTGCAAGCTGTTCACTAATCCAATGAATAGAACAAATCTTAGAAATGATTTAACAATCCCAGACATTTCTAGTCTGCACACTTCACACTTTCGCTCAGCTACTTGCTTGAAAGCTAAAGATAAGCTAGTAATATATAAAGGCACTAAAATGGCATACAGTGGACATACTGTTAATCATATTTAACATCTTGTTAAACATTAATTTGAGCTTGCGAGCCATGATGCCACTCTCCCCAGACCAACAATGAAATATTCATTATCACATGACAGGCCATGTTGACTGCTTCAGCCTGAAGAGAGAAGTTGTATTTGTGCAGGACGTGAGATTATGATTATTAGGACCAGTAATAGTACCAGTGTGTAGAGGGAGGATGTAAGCCTATCACCTTGCGTCTTACAGATGCCATCCTGTGGTGTTCAAAAGATGAGTCACTGAAGCACTGCACATAGTGTTTGAAATAACATTTTAAAATAAACCATAATGTTCTTGTCAGTTTATCTTTCTTTAGTTGCTTCCTGTTTATCAACATTGTCATACTCAAGAGAAATATCACTCATCACTTTTCTAAGATGGTGAGAATGTTGCAACAAATGGTAAATCAAGTCTTTGACTTGTGGTGATTGCTATGGGTACTTATTTTAGAAAGATGGTAATACCAAGTATGCTGTGCCTCACTGTAAAATAGTGAATATACAGATTTCACTGTAAGTAGCCTACTAAGTGTACATTATCAGGAATTAAAGGACAGCCTGCAGCCAACCAGAATAAAGCATTCATCCAGACTATGCTACAATAACTTGTACTGCCATGCTCTTTCCTAAAATAGACTTTGCTGTGATTATTCAACATGTGTTTTTTTCCGTCACCAAATTATTTTCATACTTTGTATGCTTATCAAAGCACCTGCACCTCAAGTGTTGAAAAGATCATTTACACATCATTCTGTATGTATATGCTTGCGAGCATCAGAGCCTCCCTATGATTCAGTCTTTCTTGCATATGCTGTGATCCCCGTTCCCATTGGCTGGCCCAGTGGGGGGTTAGTGGGGTGGGGGCTGTTAGTGGCAAGATAAAAGGAGCAAATGTCTCTTGTCCTGCTTACACACACAAACTCACCACGTGCCTGTCTGTCAGTCTGTCCGTCTGTTTGTGGACGCCACCATCCAAACACCACTGCTGGAGCTCTCACCTGAAATTGTAAGTATGCACACACACACACTGACACACACTCACTCACGCGCATGCATACAAACATGCTTAATCCTATTTGAGATAAGGATAAGTGCTGTGCTTCTCAACAAGGGAAAGAGTGCAGGGTGAAACACTTGTTGGATGATAAGCCACTTTTGTAGAGCCAGGGGCAATGTTCATTTGTTATTGTGCCATGTGAGTAGTCAGTATGCCAACAATTTGTATCACAATATCTTTCAAAGCTTTGTGCTTTATTCCTATGAATTTATGTTAATACACTGCAACAGGTTTATTCTTTGAAAACATTTCAAGAACAGAACGAATTCTAATGTCTCTCAGTCATTGTGGCGGGGATATCAAGGTAATCTTGATAAGGCTTTGTTTCAAACAGGTTTATGACCCTTTGGCTACATTGTTTAACACAGAGAAATGAAGCTTTTCTCTTCTCTTCACTCTGTAAAGTGAAAGTAATCTAAGCTATGATAAGTCCGGCTTATTGTGTTGCTAAGAGGGTCAGGGGCTCATACATGCATTTAAATTGAACACGATTATAAAAACTGTGTCAAGGAGCATGGCTTAATCTCACTGTGTGTGAGAAGGAGATTCTGTTAGCTTGTGTGTGTGTGTGTGTGTGTGTGTGTACATATATATTTATATAGGGCAAATTTGATCTGAAACAGTTTTTAAAATTGGCTGCATTGATTCAAAAATAAAAAAAATAAAAACATTTTTATGGGGAGTATTGAAGTTATGTCATAATCATTTAATCAGTTCATGCAGGGTGAAGATATTAATTATTAACCAGGAGGACTACACCTATTTATGTGTGTGTGTGTGTGTGTGTGTGTGTGTGTGTGTGTGTGTGTGTGTGTGTTTACTTTGCACATACATTAATCAAATGAATTTTTATTTTAATTCTATATGTATTTTAACATGTTAGTAGATGAATGTATCTATCTGTGCTGTGTGTCAGTCATACCATGGATGCAGCAGAGTTTCGGCGCAGAGGGAGGGAGATGGTGGACTATATAGCAGACTATCTGGAGAACATAGAACAGCGACCAGTCTACCCAGATGTGGAACCAGGATATCTTCGTACCCTGATCCCCACTGAGGCCCCGACTGAACCTGAGAGTTATGAGGATATTATAAAAGATGTGGAGAGAGTCATAATGCCCGGGGTGAGATTAGACTTTCCTGACGTTTTATGCACATTATAGCATAGAAGTAGCATAGATTCTATTGTCCTTGTCCTTTATACATTTATAGTAAAAGATGATGATTCACCATGATGATACACCAATAAACAAACTAAATATTTTCCATGTACCATAAGGCCAGAATACCCCCTTTTTTTTAATTTCAGCTGTAGTATTAACAAAGATTTTGGCAACCGCTTATTTTGGCAACCACTTGATGTTCTATCTACTTCTTGTTTCAGGTCACCCATTGGCACAGCCCGTACTTCTTTGCCTACTATGCTGCTGCTTCCTCGTACCCTGCCATGTTAGCTGACATGCTGTGTACAGCTATTGGGTGCATTGGATTCTCCTGGGTAAGAAACACTTTTCTGTTTCTCCAAATCTGAATCTGTATTGAATTTATTATTTTTATTTTATAGGGATGATGCAGTTAACAAAGTTTCAAAACAAAACATGAAGCTGATGTGCTGCACAGAGGACCTAGTATTTTACAGACTAGATTTATGTTTATATTTATGCAGAGGACTTTCATTTGAATTTCTGGTTTGTGTGTCTCAGGCTGCAAGCCCAGCCTGCACAGAGCTGGAGACCGTGATGTTGGATTGGCTGGGGAAGATGCTGAATCTGCCTGATCATTTTATAGCTGGGACTCATGGCCATGGAGGAGGTGTCATCCAGGTTATTTTTTTTTTTTCAATAATACCCTCGAACTCTGAGAAAAAAACATTCTTATCAAACTGACTTCAAATCCCATTTATACTCTTTTTTGAGTAAAGCCAGATCACGAGGCTCACGACTTTTATATACTCACAGGAAGTTGAACTATTTCAATGATGGCTCGAGTTTACTTAGAAGTTTGATTTCAATAAAAACAAAGGGGGTTATATGCATTCATGTCCTCCAAACATATATTCATAAGCAATTTGTGTACTATTGATTTGATGTCTCTCTCCCTTGCTCACAACAGCAGAAAATTGGCAGGAAATTGCCTTTTAATGTGTCATCCACAGGCAGGCAGAAATGACATTGATGGGGACAGGATTGTTTCGTGTGGCGAAAGGCAAAGCATTAGTTTAGTGTTCCATTGACAGAAACGAAGAGGCAACAGAGGATACTAGCTTCATCTATTTGTGTGCGTGTGTGTGTGTGTATATGTGTGTATGTGCTTGTGGGATGCTGAGTGTTGGAGCATGAGAGTGCACTCTGATGACAGATCTTTTCATGCCTTTTCTATTGTGACCACCTGAGTGTGAGGGTTTGTGTGTGTGTGTGTGTGTGTGTGTGTGAGTGAGTATGTGTGTGTGTGTGTGTGTGTGTGTGTGTGTGTGTGTGTGTTTACGTGGTGCGTTGTCTTTTTGTTTCTGTCTTGTGCAGCTTACCCGCTCACCATAGCAACCATCGGGGCTCTTCTCACTGCAGCAAGGCTAATGACTGTTGTGACAGCCATTATTATAAACCTTATGCCAACACAAAGGGGAAATGGGATTCAAAAAGACGCTCCTGACCTTAGATTTCCCTTTTTACCCCGGTGTGAGTCATTACACATTGGTGGTGGAAAAAGACAACTTGACTATAATTAAAACAAATTAAAAGCGACAAAAGATGACACAGAATGATCTGCCAGAGCATTAGAGGAAAACAATGTGTGTAATCCCTCTATATTTTTTTCTAGTTTCTTCAAAGGCAACTTTAATTTTTTAACCATGCTTGATTATTAGCAGTAAATGTTTCTCATAATTGATATCAACTATGCAGTTTCTCTTTTTACCTGGAAAAGGAAAATGTGCAATGTGTACAGAACCAGCTAAACATCATGTTGGTAAGGATGGAGGAGAGCATGTAGACTTTTCTAAAAGCTACAAATTAGGAGGAAACTATTTATAGACGATCAAAACATCTTAGATTAGTGTTAAGTGTGCATGTAACAAGGGAAGGAAGCAGGAAGTGTGCATGGGTACCTGAGGTGTGGAAGCCTGAGGTTTGTTTATTGGTTTGCTCTTTTCAGTTCTTCACAGTAACTCGATGTTTAGATGCCTAATTATACTCTGCCTCTTCAATTGTTTTGACAAAATGCACAAATGTCATATCCTGTAGTTGTTGTATTTATGTTTGGCAAGTGATGTGTGCTTATTGATCAAATGATTTGAACATTACATTGATTTCTTGTAATGATATCCCCAGATACCTAAAAAGTCATGCTTCTCTTTATTATATAGCCTCAAACAATTCTCACAGTAACAGGCTGGATGAATGTTGTCTCACGGCAGAGTAACTAACTGTAGTGATTTTCTCCTTTAAATGAGGAGATGGAGGTGTCACAGCTTTTAAATCACAGGCCGCTTCATATAGAAACACAATGTTGAACTTGCTGTAAGTCAATTTGGTCTGTGTGTTTCTGATTTACAAATCAGTTGAAAAACAGACATTGAAAGCTTTGCATCAGTATTGATTACAGAAAACACAAAAAGGAAAACAATATTATAATTCTCCACAAATATCTTTAAGAAATTTGTTAATTTATTAATTCAAATCTGTAAAGTTTTTCAGCAGCCAACACATATTTGCCTGTGCTGTGTCTGTGGGGTTAATTAAAATTGAAATTGGGGTTTAGGTCCTAAAGCTACAAACATTTAGCTTTACATTTCCACAATCATAAGTATCGGTATATATTTGATGCAAGCTAAGGCAAATAACTGAATACTTTATTTTTTTGTGAGATCATTTTGAAAATCCCCAGCTTTATTAGTTGTCATTGTCAATGAAAACAGAAGTGTACCTTTAGTTTATTTTGAACTGAACACAACATTGGAGCAGAATTATTTTAAAAGTTATTTTATTCTTCAACAGGGCACAGCTAGTGAGGCCACCCTGATGTCGTTGCTCGCTGCTCGCTGTAAAGCCGTCCGACATGTCCAGGCCTCAAAGCCGGAAAAATCGGAGGGTACCATCATCTCGGAACTGGTGGCATACACCTCTGAACAAGTAAGCATGACAACTTACTGTTTAATGCAGAGGCTGAGCTCTCTCTTATTCCCTTTATTTTTCTTTGTGGGTAAATGCAGATCCTAAATCCTTGAAGGTTACCTCAGTAACAGTAAATTAGTTTTCCAGTGATTGACTGAGACAGAGGGTCATGCAGTCTGTAGCTCTGATAAGGTTTAATAGCAGGCTGACTTTGTGATTGGGTTAGGGATTTGCCTGAGGGCCCCACAGACCTTTACTGAGAGAGCTGTTTGTAGTTTTCCTTCTGAACAACACTGCTCTTTTGTCAGGGTTTAAATGTCAATTACAACTGGACAATTTGTATTTATTTCATTCTCGCATCCTTTTCTTTTGGAAGTGGTCAGTAAAACAAAATTCAACCTAGGGCTGAGGATGATAATGGTCTTAAAATGATCATCCTCAGTATTTATGATTCAACAATCACTTGGGAGTCATTTTGCTATAAATGTATAGTTTGAGGTTTTTTTCTGGTATAACTGTAATTTAAAAAAGCCTTGCTTATGCAAGTTGACAGAAGGTCTTTAAACTATTTAGGTAAATATTCAAGAATGACTTCAATTGTGTTTTGATGAATGAACATACGGTCTGTTAAGAAAGGGTTCCCATTCATATGCCTTTTTCTGACAAAATATCATTCCCATACTACACAGTTACAGAACAATACGACATTATGAGTAAAGGCCCAACTAGGGACAAGAAGGACGGGACAGATCCAATCTAATATTGGTATCAATATTGGTGTCCGATATTGACATAATTTACATATCGGTTATCTGACTGACGGCCACAAGATCGTTTGGCATTTTGAAAATTCTCCGCTTGCACAGTCTCGCTTTGAAGACATTCAGACCGAACTTTAAGAAGTGTCCACAAATCGTCTACATCAAGAAGTTCAGATGAGATGGAACAGCTCCTTCGATATGATCAAAAGTACAATTCTTGCTGCTGCCTGTTGGATGTGAAGCCAGCACCAAGTTCAAATACATTTCTTTAGAATTATTTTAATTGTTGTGTATTTTAATTTATTTATTTTTCGCTCTTTGAATAACAAATGAAATGCCAGGTTTACTACAGCTTTGTGCATCCTTACACATAAGACCAACTACATTAACACTGTTCATTATGATTAAAAAAAACAGTTTCAGTATCTGTATCGGTACATATGTATCAGCATCGGATCAGAACTGAAAAAAGTAGATCAGTGCATCTCTAGTTGAAAATGAGAAAAGGCTACAGTAAAAACTTGTTTCTGTTCAAACACATTCATTTCATGCTCTTTCTAGGAACTATGTTGAATTGCATCGTCTCTATCAAATCAAATACATTCTAGTGCATAATCATTGCGGCTACATTTGGAGTTATCTGTTTAACTTTTTGGCTTCCAAAAGAAGGACGGGCAAGACAAATCAGTTATATTGCCTTTCTCACAATTGTTGCATCTCTTTCCTCCTCAGGCGCATTCTTCAGTGGAGCGTGCAGCTCTTATTGGAGGAGTGGTGATGAGGAAGGTTCCTACAGACAACAACTACACTGTTGTAGGAGACGCGCTTAAGAAGATGGTGGAGGAGGACAAAGCTGCTGGACTTATCCCTTTCTATGTGAGAAAGGACAAAAACATACACTCACTTCCTCAGAGATAACACACAAGGGAGAAAAAGCATACAGCAGCATCACAAACATCAAATATTGTTAATTGTTTTCACATCCGGCATTAGATTGCTTTACCAACCCGTGCAGCCTCTCACAATGATATGATTAGCAGTGTTGCTGCTGTGCACGCCCTGAGGCTTCTGTTGAAGGATAACATTGTTTCTGTTTAGCCTCATGTTTGTCTATCTGGTTAAGGACAATGATCTCGGTCTCATCTGGACCCACAGATCACTATCAGAGCAGAATAATCTGAACAGTGAAACAGCAGCTCTGAATCATCCAGAGTAAAACCCTATGTTTGAATATATTATTGAAAACTTTTCCTGATTAAAATAAATATGTAAGGTCCAATGTCTTAAATCACATGTACACTATGCCACATTTGTTACAGATAAAATAAGTAATGAGCAGGATAAGAAAGCACTTCAGGGTGTTATATTGTCTGTGTGTTTGTGTCTTTCAGTTCTGTGCGACTCTTGGCACCACACCATCATGTGCTTTCGATCGCATCACTGAGCTGGGGCCTCTGTGTGAGTCAATGTGAAATAGTTTGTTAGCCACGTTTGCAGGATTTGCTTTAAAAACACACTTTTTTGGCTCAAGAAGGACAAGGATCCTTCAAAGGGCAAATTTAGATTTATAAGTATGAACTAGGTATCATACTTAAGTGTGGACAAATGAGAAACAAATATACAATAATTATGCATTCAGGAAGTTTTATAGAGCTAAAAAACTAGTTCAAAATAAAGTAATAATAGATAAGTGTTTTTTGATATTAATCTGTATGATGTGATTATGTATTTTGAAGAGACATTTTTTAGATATTCATTTATATCCTCTTTCTTCTTTGTCTGTTCCAGGTAATAAAGAAAACATGTGGATGCACATCGATGCCGCGTATGCTGGGAGTGCTTTTATCTGCCCTGAGTTCAGACCTTTGCTGAATGGTGTTGAGGTGTGTAAAAGTCTTCACTTTCATGTTCATGCAGTACATAAACACTTAAAGAACATAAGTTGCAGTATCAGGGATTTTTGACTACTTTAAAAGGTTTACTACAAGTTTGTCTCATGAGAAAAATGACTTGATGTTTAGCTGAATTTTAGCTGAATAGCCACCTGCCTCCCAAAACACAGAATCAGTTAAATGACAAGACAGCCTGTTTCTGTCCAATTATCCATGAAATATCCCTCATAACACGAATGAAAAGAAACACTGAGCGCATACTGATTATATCTGACTGATTCCTTTCTGTTTGAAAATGGCATGACGTTAATGTCAAGGAGAAAGCACGCAGGAGTGAGTAATAGGCCGAACAATCGTTGGTAGCGTAGGAGCATCAGTCCGCCTTTTGAGGCTTGCCAAGGCAGCTGTTGCTCCCCAAGCTGTGCAGAGACGCAGAGATAAGGAGCAAGTAATTTCCTGAGGCAGCGTTAGACCTTTATAAACCACCGTTTATCAGACACACAAGTTCTAACAATGTTGGTGGCCACCAGAGGAAACTGATTTGATTGTAAAAGGACCAACTGTTGTCCCATCCTTACTCATACTTATAGATAGCTATAATGTTAGCTACAGATGTGTAAAAAAATATTTATATACATATGTTTCTTGTAATTTTATTGTTGATTTTCTTCAGTGTTCTTTGCAATACTTTTAATTCATTAGGGAATTTAGATTAAGAGTGAATTACTAATCCGCAAACCTACTTAAACCACATGCAGTAGAATTTGTAGACTTTAGTTTTGGCTCATAACTTTCAAACAGTTTGAGGTCAATGCAAATTATAATTCAGTGACTGTGGCCCTGCTGGACGGTTCGTTGCTAGGATATGAGTGATGGGCGAGCAGGCAACCAACCCCCTTTGAATTAGTCAGCATAGCAACTGTCAGACAGGAGTCTGTCTCACATTGTCTCTCTGTGCTGTGTTATTGCATTTATGGTGGAGCAGAATAGGATATTACAAAAGATAGCAAACAATAAAATCAGAACAGATAAGGGGAAAAAAAGGTATGAATCAATGCTGCGAGGAAAGGGTTATTCTCTCTGCACCCTGTGAGCTGTTGGCTGCATGTTCCTGTTTTGCATTTCAAATAAACTGTGTCTGCTTCAGTCGAGATGATGATGTTGGAGAAAAGGTTGAATCTGCATCAGTGATGGTTAATAAATGTGTATAATCATCTGTTTCTGCTGGAGTAAAAAAAACATTTTTCAAATTGTGCTTGTTTGATACGTACAATTGTGACATATCAGTATTTTTTTGACCAATTTAAAAAAAAAATGTTTTGTGCCATTTTTGCCTTTATTTGATGGGTACAGCTGAAGAGAGTCAGAAAAATGTTGGATGGATAGAGTGGGGTATGACATGCAGTAAAGGGCAGAGGTCAGATTCGAACCCATGGCCGCTGCAACAAGGGCTATAGCTTCTGTACATCAGGCACCTGATAGCCTATAGTGGGCTCCCCATATTCTGAAGCTATAGTCCTCTATCAGGCGTCCCTTGACCAATTATTTAATGTCATTTTTTATCTTTTTAATTGGAGCCTATGTATACAATCCCCACTTAAAGCAAATGATATAAAATTAAATTGTATTTTTTTGTGTATTCTGTTATTTGAATGTCATTGTTTTAGGAAGAAATCAAGCGTGACTGTTTTGTGTTTCTTGTTAAGTTTGCAGATTCTTTCAACTTCAACCCACACAAATGGCTTCTTGTCAACTTTGACTGCTCTGCATTGTGGTAAGAGGCTTCACTGTTCTCATGTCCTGTATTGTGTAGTATAATAGTAATAGACTGTGTAGAAATGATGTGAAAACAGTCTGTGTCTGTATTGTGTGTTACAAAGAAAGGCCTAACCAATGGAAACTCTGCAAGAAGTCAGAATACTTCACAGCTTACCTCCGAGTGACTCATGGTTCCTTTAGAGCGACAACCAGTAGCCTAGTTAGTGTCGTCTCTAAACTGTTATCCATCAACACATGAATCATTTGCAGAGTAAAAATAGACTCCCGCCTTCCAGCTGCCTCTCCTGTCAGCGACAAACAAAACGAGACATGCTCGGCACGAGTCGGAAACAAAGGTGTGTGACCGTGCTGAGGGGAAGCGGCTACATGTTGCCTTTGAGATATTTTCTGTTTCACTTTTCTGATATAACTATTACTTCCTTCATCAACAAATATGCTCTGATATAGGTAACATTTTCTGTTATACTTTTTAAAGATTTCATGCAGTATTGGGAATACAATTGACAGTCTAGTACAACATATTAAAGGTATTACAATACATTACTTTATGACAAGAAACAAGTGCCAAACCTATCAAACTTTTATTGCTTTATATTGTGTGAAATCTACTGTAGGGCCACAATCATGTTGGAGTACTTTCCTCAAAAAGAAAGGAACTGAATTTTGATATTTTCATTTAGATTATTTTAGAATATGTAGAGTCAGTATATTTTTCTTCCTAGGGTGAAGAAAAGGGCAGACATCATCGGAGCCTTCAAGATGGAGCCACTCTACCTGAAACATGAAAACCAGGAGTCAGGTAGAATCATTACTGATTTGAATCAGAAAACACTGATTAGATTGTATTCATTGTGGTTCTATAAATGACTGTTCATACGGCAATCATACCAGTTAGAGGACTTGCTTTAGCCACATTTTAAACAGGTTAACAACAGGGTTTAGGATTGGAGTATAAATGTGAATGTGAGTGTTTTTCTGGCCTCTGAATTCTTTGTTAGCTAAAGTTTAGCTGATCTACTTTGATAGCTTATTTATTTATTACATCCTATATTCATGGAAGTGTGAATGTGCTTTAAGAAAGACTTGATAAGAATACAAATTTTGCCAAAGATGTCACAAATTAGACCTCAAAATCCCCATGATGTGATTCAGTGTCCGTGTGAATATGTGTCTGCAGCTTCTGTGCTGGTGCACATGCTCAGCCTGCAGATGGAATCAGATCTGCACTATAATTTGTCTGACAGACGAGCAGGCTGCCACAAAAGACAACCCGTGTTTGCCTCCTACATCACTGCAGCACCTTACAAAAGCCTTCACTCACGCAACCCGGCGTCTTCAATCTAATTAGAGGTTATTAGCAGCAGCTAACGCAGGGCTCACTTCTGTAGCGATGAGCTTCCTGTAGATATTAGTCCGTGTGTGGACCGACAGTCCTGCAATCAGTGAGATAAAGTGGGTGGGATCATGACAGCAACACAAGCAGAATGGAATAGATCCCTTTCAGAAGCAACAGTTGTTATGTATCAGAAATGTGTCGATTCAAATACAGTTTTTATTGATCCTGGGCCTTTTCTACTTTAACAGGGCTGGTCACAGATTATAGGGTAAGGTCATACAATATTTAGTTTCTTTCCACAATTTTCAGGAAATCTGGTTACCATAGCGAACATCAAACTTTCAGAGTTTAAATATATATTCTCCTATTCTCCTTGCAGCATTGGCAGATTCCACTCGGAAGACGATTTCGCTCGCTGAAGATGTGGTTTGTCTTCCGTATGTACGGGCTGTCAGGCATACAGGCCCACATACGCAAGGTAAGAGTCCAGCTAAAGGATCCCCTCCACTGATTTCTTTGAGTCCACGTGTCTTTACCCTTTACTTCCTGGATCCTAATTCTGACTATTGTCTTTTAGATCCATATCTTTTTAGCCCTCACACAAAACAGCACCTGACATTTTCAGGTAGAAATCCCCTGCAGTGAAAACAATTAGGAGCACTGAAATGTAGCAGGGTATTTTTTTTTTTATGGTAGAGTATCACTAATTAAGTCTTGTTGTTATGCCAAATGTCCAAAAAGGCTGGTTCAGCAGCATGCAACTAATCACTGTGTTTGACACCTTACCTGTAGATGCAGCATTAACAGGCATTTAAAATAACTACCAAAAAAAATTGCCATTCTCTCAGATGGCCTTGTTTGCTTTTGTGGCTCTTAAAGGAGCATCAATATCAAATTTAGTTCATTTCTTAACCCGCTAAAGACTCCTCACAGTCGTGGTTTCAAGACAATGTCAAACTTTATAAGATTTTTACATCTTGTGCTGCTGTTTTTACACAGTGTAGGTGTTTATTGAGGTTTCATGATCATTTTGGAATCATAGTTGCAAAAGATGGGTGTTATGTCACTGCTTCAATCCCGTTATGATAACAACTTAAACCACGCCCTGACCTCCTTATTATAAATGACTTAAAGATAAGCACACTGCTAACACTGGTGAGAAGTCTTCGTGTTTCATTCACTCCATCAATCCCTTCTGTATAAAAATCACTTCCGACAATCACACATAATTGGTCTTTATCGTAAATGCCACCCGTTCTCTCCATCTCTTCCTTCCCTCCTCCCTTGCCTCACTAGCTAATCCTCCTAACCATTAAAGTCCTTTCAGTGCCTTCATCTCTGCCTCCATCAGCACTTCCTGTCAGTCATATTTGTCTGGTCTGTTTCTTCTTTTTATAGCAACATTTTCCAACATTTACCCCCCCCTTCCCCCCTCGCAGTCTCCTTTCGATGCTTTCCCCCTTGCATGCCTGTCTCTCCCTTCATGTTCCTCTTCCTCCCTCCAGTCATCTCTGTCAATCAAGTGAGTCTGTTTTGTGTTTAGTCTCCATTTTTAAATGAAGCGGCAGAAGCAGGACTGATCCCTGCAGCTATAACTAATGACGTATACTCTACTGTACATCTTCTGTCTTCTAGATTAGAGTAAGCAGTTTGAGTCGTTGCTTTTGTTCCAGTGTAGCTTAATCTAAATTAGTAGCATCTAATGTATATGTTTAAATGCAAATGCAGAATTTGTGAATACTGGTTGTAGGGGCTGTCTTTTATTCTGGAGAAAATAGTCTGTAACGCCACAATTTCCCAGTTTGGGATCAATAAAGTAATTCTATTCTATTCAATTCTAAGTGATCGTGAAAAACTCTCTGGGATTGACAAAACATGGAAAAGTGGTCATCAACCTGTCCTAATAGTGATGAGGTGCAGTGCGCTGTGTTGACAGGTTCACATGCATTTAGCAACTTGGACTCCTTTATTATTGATGGAAACGAAAGCTAATGAGCATGTTTGACTGCACACTGCTGTTTTAATTTATTCCAAAGGAGTGCAATAACATTTCATGAAAACCAGTTTTGATTAAAAAAAAAAAAAGCTGAACTATTTCATGGCTACTTCTCATTTGAATTTGTTTAAACTGGGCTTCCTTTGCCAGGATCTGCACCATCACTTACTTTGCTCTTTTGATTTGGTCATAGGAAGTTACAGATGGTTATAGTCCAAAGCAAAGGATATTGAGGGAAGACAGTTGGGCAAAGTCATTTTTATCTGTATGACAGCATTGTGCCATGTAATGATACAGCACTGCCATCTAGTGAAAGTATTAGATAGTATGCCTCTGGTATAATGGCTTGCATAAAACAAATAGTTGACATGTAGAATTGGTGAGTAAATTTATAAAACAGCTTGAAATCAACACCTTTTCAACATAACATTTGTTTGACTTTATGATACCAACCTGAAACCAATAATGAGTTGTGCCATTTCTTTAATCATCTAAATTAAACATTAGACATTACTGTAGATCTCTAATGATTACTTCAGACAAAAGACTCTTCATCATATGCACGTTATGTGACCGAGTGGAGGAGCTTATGGCTCAGTGATTTCTTTGTTGTCTCTTTTCAGCAAGTGGCCCTGGCCAAGGAGTTTGAGAGTCTGGTACGAGCAGACCAAAGATTTGAGATCTGTGCTGAGGTCATCATGGGACTGGTCTGCTTCAGACTTAAGGTAATATCATCAGATGTTACATCATTCAAAAAAGCCTGTGTGCTCTCATACCAGAGAACAATCTGCTCATTGTCTTTCACATGTAACAATGCAGTTCTGATTAAGTACACTGCTTTCATAGTGTATTTGGAAACATAATAAAATGTATAATGACAAACAGTTCACCCCAAAGTGTCCATAAGTCAGGAAAATTATGTTTTTAGCTGTATGTCTTTCTGTGCTCTCTTTCTTTCGCTTAGGGCTCCAATGAGCGGAACCAGAACTTGCTGAAAAGGATCAATACAAACAGAGAGATCCATCTAGTGCCTTGCCAGCTCTCTGGCAGCTTTGTGCTGCGCTTTGCCATCTGCTCTCGCGCTACCGAATCACGTCACATCCAGCAAGCATGGCGGCACATCACACAGATGACCTTTGAGCTTTTACAGGAGCCTAGTCATTGACGAAACCGCTTGTAGTCCACTCTGGTGCGACCAGTCAGGACTAAGATTTATTTTGCAGATGTTAAATGTCTTAAAGGGAAAGAACAACTATTTTACAGCTCACTCAGCAGATGTTTTGTTGTTTGCAGACGAGTAATCCAGGCTTATCAATCTTTTGATTTTGCAAACTGATGTTGGTCAAAATAATCTACAACAATCCATAATAAGTATAAATATGAAATTTGCTTGCTACAAAATGTTTCCCCACAGTGAGACGTGTATGTCATGTCCTCCTTACACCTATCCCCTGTTTGTCTTTGCTGCTTCTGTGTCTTCTTAGTTTTAATTTGGCTCAGGGTCTGCTAATAGATTTATGCTAATTGTTTTTATTGTATTTATTGCTGCAATGAATGTAATTCACATTGTGTGTGTAAAAATCTTTGAGCCAATGGTGGCTTCTTTTTTGTGGATATGTTTAGTGAAATGAATGACAAAGATAAACTCTAACGTCTCTTATCTGGATATAATGTTTAATGTAAGAGTGGCTTCATAAAATGAGATAAATAAAATGCTCTCTAATCAGGCTGAATCCCTTGTCTACAGGCATTAGCCTCAATCATTTGTGACCTCATAAACACAAGTACTTGTATGTTAAATACAATTGCAAAGCAAGGCAATTAATTTGTCTTTTGTCTTGTTTTTTACAGAATGCTCATTGATTCATCTAGTGTCTTATATGATAGAAGAGTAGTATTTAAAAATGACAGTGGCACAAGAGAATCACGTTCTCAGCCTATAAATCCTACTTTTTGGGTAACCATTGAACCACTTGGGTAAAAATCAGAGCTATTTATTATTTAGTTCTAATGAAAAGATATGAGGAAACTGAGGATTTATTTATGCTGTAGTTGATCCCATAAACTATTAAATGTGTACACCCAGACAGAAAAAAATGAACAATCAGTCGACTTAAAAAAAAGGGTTGGAAATCAAGATGAAAAATTAATTTGGTGTCCAATAGCTCAGTATAATTTGTGTGTTATGGTAGTCTGATATCTGTATAAATCTCTTATCTTGTAAGGTTAACTTCAAACCACAATGTTTAACAGATTCCAATGACGATCAAATATAATTAAAACAACATTTCTGTAGTATCCTGCATTTTATCCATATCCATGGAAATATATAAAGTCACTTTGTGGGTCTGTGATTGTTTTTATTTGTTTGCCAGGAGATATTAATTCATTGTGTGAAATCACTGAACCTTATTGTAAATTCATCTGATTGGGTCAAAGTCCACTCCGGGATCAAGATGTTTAAGTTGGCTGTGTGCTGCATTGGATTGGTTTATTTAATTAAAGTGGAACATAGTACGCATGGTGCTTGGATCTCATTTTGTATTTTTAATTAGATGTGTAAAATAGATCAGGATCACAAAGATGTCAAATTATTGGGCACAATCAAAGGTTATGTTTTGAAGCCATATAGCAAAAGAGTTGTAAAAATGCTGCCTGATTTAACCTGCTGTCCATCTTCTTCAGTGCTCTCAATTCTAGTTGACAGGCGTGGGTACACAACTAACCATCATGCTGTGCTGTGCAGCTTCCTCTGAGCATTGTAATCCCTGAGGACAAAGGCCCGTGTTCTATAAATACAGATAGGGATTCAGTATTAGAGGTCAAATCTTAACCCCTGATGACATTGGCATTTCCTTTCACTTGCAGTTAAAGCTAAATTAAGAACATTCTTCAGGTTGACACTTTATGACACAGGATTAGTAGACAGGTAGATTTTTTTTTCTAAACTGGAAGTGAAGGGTAAATAAACATTTACAAAAATACAGCGGGTCAAGAACATGTCAAAGACTAAGGGTCCAGGTAAGGAAAGAAAGGTTCTGTTAAGGCTGATGATGATGGGACACTTGGGACAACCAAATGCTATTATAGAGGTCAGAGTTCATGAGCTTTATAGTGAACTCAACCTGTATTTACAGTACTTATGAAAAAATAATTTATACACTTACTTTACACATGAGATGTGTGTGTGGATTAATACAAGGCCATTTAACAGTCAATATGTTTATATGCAGTTAGAAAAAAAATATGTATTGTGTTAGTCAAAAACTAGCCTTTGCTTGAAACTGGATACATCATTCAGGCCTTATCCAAAAAACTGACACACTAACAACAATAACTCAGTCTTTATCAATAATCAATTCAGAGTCCTCCTCTGCATCTTCAGAGTCTGAATGCAGCAAATGCTTCACTTCTAGTCGATGTTCGAGTCATTAGTGCTGGAGTCCCAATTGGGTCGTAAGTCCTTAAAATCTGGACTTCAGTAAAACGTGAGGCTGAGTCCTAGACTCGAGTACTACAACACTGTCATGTAAAGCACTCCATGCCAGTATGTTGAAGAAGTACAGGAATATTTTAAGTTGTGTTAAATCAATTTGCAGATCTGTTAACATTTATATGAGAAGTTACTAATTAAATTTCCTTGGGTTCAAAGTTGTCCTGTAATGGGTATGTAAAGCACTGATGTAATAAAAAACGTGGAACTTGACCAAGCACGTATGGGGCATTTTGACCCAGTGACAGTGTTGAATTAATTATTAAGATAAGGTATCAGATTTACCTTACTTCTACCTTTCTTCTAAAGTCAGGATATATATTTAAAAACAGACTTTAACGGCAAATAATTCCACCCTGTGTCCACCACCCTATAAAACAATGCAGGCACATAGTCATCATGCGTACTTCCAGGGAAACACACACTGACATTAATGAAATGCAGGTTTTCTCTGCATGTTCATTGAAGAATAAAACTATGGTACTAAATACTTTATCGCATCTGCGCCTTGGGGCTTAGATATAAAGATATGACTTAAATGAATGCATTTTAAAAGTCCTTGTAATCTGAGTCTCCTATTATTTTTCCTATTATTATTTTTTATTGCCTCTGAGATATATTAGATGAAGAAGCTCCGGCCATGTGATTGTGCAGACTTTTACTTCGTCCTAGTGGCATACAACACAAAATGCTATCTTACAGATGAGCAGCGACCTGGTGGCTGCTGGTATCATTTACTCCCCGTGGCATCGTTAATCCGTCAATGATTAATGGCACCATAAACTTTGATTGCTCTGACAGATCGGTGCTTTGTGTGTGAGGTGACACCTTTGCCCACTGGCAGTTATTCCCCCTCAGATTAAGAGACGCGCTCCTCCCTCGTACTCCTCCTCACTGCTTGCCATAACCTGCCCCCGCTGTTAGAACGCACACCAAAGAGCTTGCTTCATGTTTTTATTGCTTGATGTTAGAGAGATAAGATGTGTCTCAAATCTTAAATTGATAGGATTTTTCTTATATTAAGTGAATAAAGACATGTATTTTCAGTCCATTAACAATTGCTCACATTGTGAATAAGTTTGCCCAAATAAGTTTTGCCAGTAAAGACTGCCTTTTTAAAAAGCTGCTGATAAGATGATTTTGTTTCTAGATTTTGAAGTAAATAAAAGAGAAAAATATTGAAATCATTGCCCTGTCATTGAAAAAGTATTCTTGATTTTTTTTTTTTTTTTTACTATTTAGTTGTGTATTTTGAGAAAAAAACGTTATTATGTAATGTTTGCAGGGCCTATTACTGTAATGTCCATTCAGTTGCAGTTGCGTCATTTGACCACAGGAGGGCACCGCTACACATCCTGAGACCGTCACGTCTTGGGTGTCATGCATTCGAATCCAAATTAGAGTCAGCTTTATTGGCCATGACTGCTTAAGGAATTTGTCCTCAGTAACTGTGCTCTCAATGTACTAAAAGTACAACATTAAATATAAACATAATACAAGCAGAACGACTAATATATACAAGGCTATAGTGCCGTGGTGAGTAGTGCAAAAATGCTGAAATGAACATGATAATAAATATGTAATTATGTAACAGGTGATGAATTTAATTTACATGAGGTAGAGTTTTTACAGTATTTACATTTACAGATTGATGAGGACAATATTACTGTATTTACATGATTAAGTTCTTGAACATAAACATCAGTTTTAAATCGTCTTATGTACAATCACAGTGTTTGATTACAGGGTTACCGATATTTTACAGTGACAGGTCTGACACTCTGTGACTACATATACAATTTACTGTTGTGCACTATGTATAAACAAAAGTTACTGTATTTGTGTGTTAAGACATCACCATCTCCTTTAGATCAGGGAAAAATATGTCAACACGCTTCAGGATTTGGGCTAACCACACTGCAAACCCAAACAAGAAGAATACATACTGTATGTCTTCACTACATAATCATCGTTTTTATTTTCAGAACATTTTTTATCTTCAGTATTTTCTGTATATTTTTGCATGCATGTTTTATGAGCCCATCTTATCTTTTATCTACGGACACAGGATTCAGTAATTTGTTGTTTTTGTGTGTCTGTTGAGTCAGCAAGGGGCTGATTTTCCTATAATCAGTGTAACGATATCAACAATGAATCACACGACTACTTTACTATTAAGAGAAAGGGCTGTTTAGGGGACAGTACCAGAGAATTATCAGCCCAGTATGTAGTCCTTCCCACTTTTTTCTTAGTTTATAATATCTCTACAACAATGTTTTGCTGTCCTGTAACTTTACAATATTGGTTTTCCCGTTCTCATTCCTGTCATATTTGGTGCCTTTTGTCAGTATAAAAGATTAAATTCTGTTTCATACCAGATTGCTGACAGATTGTTAGCAACCTTCTGGGTGACAGGGCATTTGCAGCTAAAGAGCCATATATTTTCCCCTCAGGAGTTGGCTGAGAGCAAAACAGAGCTGGAGTCACTAATATTTGTTGCCAGCAACATTTATTATTAAATAATACTATTGCAGCGTCATCTAAATGTGTGCAGCGTTTGAAGGCAGACACACTTCAGGTTCATCAATTTTAAATTGGATTATATGACAGTTTCATCGTCACATCTTGCCTGACTTCCATCAGTGACTGTATTTACTACATGTGAAATGATTTGTGTCTGCAAAAATGATTATGGGATATAAAAAGGGAAACTTTAGTTTTTTGGATTAAAAAAAAATACATAGAAAGGGATGGAGGTCAAATGTTCTATTACCATGTTTAGTTTTTGCCTTATTGTAAATGACAACGATAAACATCAATAAAAAATCCACAAAAAAAAGTTCTGATATTACGCACTAATGTAAAGCTTTACACGTCATCATAAAACACATTTTCCCACATCAGGCCAATACATGATGTCAGCTCCAATTTTTATGGCACCCTCTTCTCCTTTCAAAAATGTATCCTCTATGGTTGTTGGTTATTGACTGCTTGCCACAGACACGTTCTCACTTGAAAGGCATAAACTGGGAACCATTTCAACCGAGCAGCTTCCAGCACATAAGTAAATCTGAAGTCACAGCTATACTTGAGACCTCAGAGATCACGTTACATGTCCTGCATTTAATGCCTCGTGTTGAACAATACACTGATTGCTCTTAATTCTTTGTGTTCAATTAGGATAAGTGTTTCCTTTCTGAAAATATAATAGTGTGATGAGTGTTATTACACGGCTTTAGACTGCATGAGACATTGGGTTGTGTTACGTCTTTGATGCCTCTGGTACATCAGAGGAGGAGGAGGAGGAGAGTTTTCTGCTGTGCAGAGGTAAGCTATTGTCAATATAACCACAACAGTGAGGACCCTGTTGGACTTAAAGTGCACCAGAACAGAAATGAGCCACCCACACATTAGATTCTTAATGGATAATTTTCTACCAGTGGCACTGCAGAACGCACAAACAGCTCATTTTGACCACATATGGACAAGTTATTTTAAAAGTGCTGATGCATGATTACGACTTTTCATTAAGAGTATCACTCCGCCTCATCCTGGTGCTTTGAACAAACGGTTGCTGGTCTGATGAAGCATGTAGACACACACACAGTTGCAAGAGTACAGAATTGTTTTTCCCATTGCTTTGCAATTGTCCAGTCTCTGTCAGTCTCCAGAACTAGTTCTGTTGGTGAAGCCAAGAATAAATAAACAAAATAGTTACAATTTAATGTTGATTTTAACTTCCTAAGATTATGTTCTACTGGTACAGCTGTTGTGATATTGGTAAATATGGAGTGATGTTGACTGACTAACATCCATGCTAATATTCATTCAACATCACTCGTACAATGTGTACATTGCTTTAACAAGGTACAAAGTACACATGTATGTGTTTGGATAACTATCTAATTCCTCATATAACTTTAAGATCTGTGAAACTCCCATTAGTCAAGAGAGAGTGTGTAACAGAGAAACTACCTGTTCAGAGGAGTGGTTTTGCAAACATTTAGCATGTGCAGAATCGAAAAC